TGCCCTGACTAGGAATCGAACTGCAACCCTTCAGTTTATGGGCCAGCACTCAGTCCGCTGAGCCAGATCAGCCAGGGTTTCCCTAGAAATCTGAAACAGTGCTCTGTTATTTTCAGGATAAAAAGCACATTCTTAGTCATGGAAGAAGCCATTTTAACATTATAATAATTCATATGTTTAACAGACATTTAGTCAGTGCTTTCTATGGGTCAGGCACCATTCAAAATGCTTTACATTTATTAACTTGTCCTCACAACAACTCTGTTAGGCTGGCATTATTGTTATGTGTTTGGCCCACAGTAAGTGATCAATAAATGCTGTTGAACAAATGCATTTCTATTTTACAAATGAGGAAATTAGACTTAGTGTATTGCCACCCAAGGTTTCCATGGCTATTCAATGGTAAATTGTATACACAGGACAATCTGACTCAGGGGCCTTAAATGTGATCCATTATACCCCAAGTCTTTTTAAAAGTGGACCCTACTCTACTTTCCTGGTCTCATCTCTGGATCCTTCCTAGTGACATTTGTCCACCCCAGTGACTGTTTTCTAGGGGAAGGGAGGGAGGAAGAGAGGTAGAGAAACATCACTGTGGGAGAAGATTTTGGGATCACTTCCTTGAACATGCCCCGCAGGAGACCCAGCTGCAACATAGGCATGTGTCCCAACCAGGAATCAAACCTTCGACCTTGCAGTTTAAGGATTGATGCTGGAAACAACTGTGCCACACCAGCCAGGACTCTACTTCCCTCTTGGTCAGAGTAGCTCTTCTCAACCTTCAGTATCCAACTTTTTTATGTCCATACCTAAGAAGCTTTCCATAACCCTGAGGCTGAATTACTCCCTCCCTCTCCTTTTGCTCCCATTGCACTTTATTTATGCTTCTAATTACAGATACAATAACACTACATTATGATTTATTTGTCTGCAATTTCTTAGGTTGTATTCTCCTTCAGGGTAGGGACTAGGTTACATTCATGTTTGTGTCCTGGCATGTAATCATGATTCAATAAATATTTGTTAAGTGAATGAATAAATGGATGTCTTTGATTTGACTTTGCAAAAGATATAGGAAGTATTTCTTTGAAAGGACATTTCTTAAAATCACCTTTCTATAGAAGATAAGGGATGTGATTAAATCTTAATTTAGCAAAGGCCCTTAGCAGGAAACTATTTCAATATCAACAAGGTATCTTGCTTTCTGATACTACTTAATACAAGTGTGTCAAGGAATAGTTAGTTATGAAGACAAATAATAAGTGCACTTAAATGTAAAAGTCTAAACAAATAAATAAGAATGGTTTGCTGATACTCACCATCCGGGCAATGAAAACTAGAGAACTTAAAAACCAAAAGAGCCTCAAATATATGCACTTATCTTTTAAATTTTAGATAGGAGAGTTGGGAATAGCGGGAAAGAAATTACTAGGCATCCTGTGCTAAGTCTGTTTGTATGACTTTTGGTCCAAATGCTGTGTCAGGAATATTAAGGACATCAAGTCCCTTATTGTGGATTATGTGTCATCTCTTCTTTGTCTATGAGATGTATGTAACAGCAAGTTTAGTTTCTGAGGCCAGTTATTTGGTAGGTTATTTGGATCCTTGGATCTCTAAAAATTGTTAATTTCTGCCAACCTGTCTCACTAACTACTAGCTTCAAAAGAGATGCATCTGACTCATCAACAGATTAAGAAGTTAGGCCATCCTTTTCATAGTTATCGTGGTATAACACTTGACAATTATTCCAATATTATTTTCAGTAACTTGGTTAAGTTTTTCCATCTCTTCCCTCCCTCCCTTTTTCTGTGTAACCAAAAACATCAGTTGAAAAAATAAAGTAAGCTAGAGAAAATAAAATGTTATTAAGAAAATCATAAGGAAGAGAAAATACATTTACAGTATTTTTATTTAGTTATTTATTTTACAGACCAAGAGGAAGGGAAAGAGAGAGAAAACACATCAGTTTATTGTTCCACTTGTTTATGTATTCATTGGTTGAGTCTCGCATGTGTCCTGACCCAGGATTGAACCCACAACCTTGGTATATTGGGACAACGCTCTAACCAACTGAGCTACCTAACCAGGGCTACAGTATTTAATGAAAAAAAATGTGTATATAAGTGGACCTGCTCAATTCAAACCTGTGTTGTTCAAGGGTCAAGTGTATATGCATAAAGATTTCTTTTAGCTAGTTTTCACTGCTTCTTTGGTAAACTTAAGCAGCTTGCCAAAAGGAGTCAGGATAATAAGAAGAACATTTGGGTCCATGGGCACAGGAGCATCACAGAAGTGTCTATAAATAGATAGACAGGAGGAGCCTCATGCTGATTCTATCAAATTGTTGAGTTATAACTGACCGGGTTAAAGACTAGTGAGCCAGAGAGATTCAAGATTCAGAGAAGGAGGATGATTAATAGTGCAATGCCCTAGAGAACGGGGGTGGCGTGTGATCCACAGCATAGGTGGAAAAAATAGCCTTAATAGGTGGAAAGGAGGAGTGTTATTTTGGAGGCAGGAAGTCGGGAGAGTTCCTTTTAAAGCTTTCTGTTTTCCTTAAAGAAGGAGGTGAGGTCATTCTTAGAGGATGAGGTGGGAGGGTCAAAGATTTGTGGAGGTTTAAAAAGGCTGTTGTGAATCACAGGAAACACTTGTCTTAGCCTGGCAGTCCTGAGGGCCCCTTTGCAGGTGGAACCACAAAAAGGCAAGGGAATGTGGAGTCAAAGGAAAGGACAAAGAGCTACAGGATAGAGAAGGAAGAAATGAAGGCAGAGGAAATCAGCCCAAAGGGAGAGAGAGAGAAGAGATCAATGAACTTGAGTCTGAGGAGTGATTGAGGAAAGGGCTGGGTGAGGGCGGGCAAAGTTTGGTCAGACAGTGGGTTGTCCAAATTACTATTATTTTAAGTGTAAGAAATAGTATCAGTTTGAAAGAAAAATAAATATACTACAATTTTGTAATCCTGCTTTTGAGCATTGGTTTTCTTTGTAGATTGTACTTTAAAGCCTTTTTAAATGAAATGTTATAGAGGCCTACCTGGTTGGATCCAGCGTCAGGGTCTGGGGGCCTGGAGCTCCATCTACCCTCTGCCAGCTTTACACCCCCCAGACTCCACAGAACGCAACTGAAATATGACCACTACTCAAGTTTTGAGACTGAAACCAATTTTATATCAAGTGAACACAATTCTGGTATTGTTTGATAAGATGCTGGGTCACATATTTACTGCCAAAATTATGATATCATCTCAAGAGCACATTTCTATATTTCCCGTATATTCTATGGCAGACATATATTACATGTACAATGTGTTCTAACTGGAGTCAGAAATGCAGTTGATCCTGGATTCAGTTTGATAATACATCAAGAACCACCAAAGAAGCTAGCACTTGAGAGATCTAAAGGACAGGTCTCACCAGCTGTGAAAAAGAAGCAGATAGAGCTAATTTTCTGTATTTTTATGGCTAATGTAGTTTTCTGTCTGTCCTGTTTGCTTATTTAATATTTGTTAGAAAATAACACGAGACCTCTACCTCCTACATTCTAAATGCTAAACTATATTCCATATAGAGTAAAGATTTAGATGTAAAAAGTTATAATATGTAATTAGAGTAAAATATTAAAAAAACTTATATAAACTTGTATAAGAAAGGCAGCTTATAAACTTATATCAGAAGTGCAAAGCCAACTCAGGAAAGTCAGAAGCCCAAATTTAAAAAGAGAGACCTGTATGACTATGCAAAAGGATAAACAATGATAATGAAAAAGGCACAAAAGCCATAATGAAAATCATGACTGCTAAAAATATCTGCAACACATGTGACAGGCAAAAAGTTAATATCATTGCAAACTGATAAGAAAAAGACAAGCAAACCAAGAGCAAACAGGGCAAAGAACATGAACAGGCAATCCACAGAGGAAGAATCCAAGTAGCCAACAAATATATGAAAATAGTAGCTAGGAAAATAAAAATTAAAATAACTATTAAACAACATCTTGTGCTGGAAAAAAATTATAGAAGTAGGCACTCTCAAATTTAATGTGTGAGTATGTGTGTGTGTGTCACTAGACTTTTTGAACAATAGTTTAGCAACATTCATAGAATTTTAAAAATTAATAAGATTAATGCCTTGACTGGTGTGGCTCAGTGGATTGAGGGCCAGTCTGAGAATCAGAGGGTCACTGGTTCAATTCCTGGTCAGGATCCATGCCTCGCTTGTGGCCAGATCCCCAGGTGGGAGCATGCAAGAAGCAGCTGATCAATGTACCTCTTGCACATTGATGTTTCTCTCCCTCTCTCCCTCCCTTTCTCTCTCTCTAAAAAGCAATAAAAATGAAATCTTTTAAAAAAGAACATATTTAAAAATTAATAAGATGAAAATACAAGTAAGCATGTGTTTTATCTTCTAATTTTAGCTTTAAAATTTTTTCAAATCTGTAAAAAATTTGCAAGAATAGGAAAATGAACAACTATATATCTTTTGCCTAGAGTTGCTAATTGTTGACATTTTATTATGTTTACCTTCTCTCTCTCTACATGTATAATATGTAAATACTCTTTATATTAAAGAATAAAAATGTTTAAATGAAAATATTTTAAACTTGAGATCTAGGTGTGTCAGTGTCAAATAAAAAATTAAGTAGAACCAAGCTGCATGCTCTGCACAAAACACGGTTCCATTTTGTCAATGGGAACAAACTCTATTAGGGGCAAGGAATTTGCTTTGTCCATAATTATATCTCTAGTGCCTAGAACATGCTGCCTGGTATATGGAAGGCTCTTAGTAAATATTTCTTGAATGAATGAGTGAGTGAATGGAATGAATGAATAAATATGAAATTATTTGCATTCTTTTATCAACCCTCTTTTCCATTCAGTTAAATATCTAAATCAGGTGTCTCTATCTTATCTGAATAGAATTTCATTTAGGAATCTGTTCTGAAATAAAAACTATGAATGCCTACATGATAATTTGTGCTTATCAAATATAGTAATTTTTGTGCTCACTTTGGCAGCACATATACTAAAATTGGAAAGATACAGAGATTAGCCTGGTTCTTGCACACGGATGATACACGAATTCATGAAGTGTTTCATATTTTTCTAAATTAGTTCATTCATCATTTATGCAGCCATCACTCACTCTCTAAACATTTACTGAGCACAGTTCCATTCCCCACAAGCTATTTGCTATGCCCCTGATTAAAACAAAAGACACAGCAGTGAGGTAGGGGAGCAAACAAGTAAACAAACAACTAAGATGTTCTATGCATTTAGCATAACTAGAAGGTATTAAGAACACACAGAGGTTGAAAAACTAAACTAGTTTGGTCAATCAGGAAAGGGTACTTAAGGGAAGTACTAATATTTACATTGCTCTTTAAGAGTGAGTAGGTATTAGGCAGCTGAATGGCATTCCAGTCAGAGGAAGCAGGATTCATTTATTTATACATTTATTCCAACATTTACAGTGCTTACTATGTGCCAGTCTGTAGGCTCTGGAGATGTATCAGTGAACAAGACAGAAAAGTCTATGCTCTCCTGTGGGGAGAGATAATAAACACATAAACAAAAAAATGTATAAATGACAAGAAGGATAAGGGATAAGAGTGCGTCTGGGGTGGTGTGTGCCATTTTAGATAAGATGGTCAAGGGAAGGACTCACAAAGGAGATGACATCTGAGCAGAGACTTGGGTGAAGTAAGTAAGGGAGGAACTGTGTAAGGAAGAACAATAAATGTAAAGACCCTGAGGAGGCCAGTGAAACTAGAACTAAGCATGTGGGAGAGCAATGCAGCAGGAGATAAAATCAGAGAGCTATGCAGTGGGAGATCATGGAGAGCCTAGTGCTCAGCAGCATGTGACTTTGATGAGATCTCCAAGGAAATACATGTGAGTTTAGAAGAGAACTCTCAGAAGTAAGCTTGGAAATATCAATATTTAAAAGTTTGGGAAAAGATAAAGATTCCAGAAAATAAAACTAGGACAGGAGGAAAACCAGGCATAAATGATGTTCTAGAAGTCTAGTGGGTAAGTGTTTTGAGACAAATAAGTTATTTACTGTGCCAAAATGTGAGGAGAAAGAAAGCCTAGAATATTACTCAGGGAACAGTGAGTAGATTCAGGATAGAAGGACCAGAATCTGGGTGGAGTGATGGCAGGAGAGGGTGGTCACAAAGCAACTTTTTCAGTCATATAACTTGACAGCAACATTGACATGAAGGCCTTAAACATAAGGCGAGGCAAATGTAGAGCACCTTTTCTTTTTATAATTACTTTCACATATACCACCTCAGTTGTCCCTTTAAGCTAGAGATTCTCAACCAGTGTGATGCAAGAATTTTTAAAAATAATTAATTAACTTATTATTAATTGAATTTATTGGGGTGACATTGGTTAATTAAATCATATAGGTTTCAGGGGTACAATTCTACTGCAAGAATTTTTTAACTTTTTTTAATCCTCGCCCAAGGATATGTTTATTGATTTTATTTTATTTTATTTTATTTTTATCCTCACCCTGAGAACATGATTATTGTTTGTTAGTTTATTTATTTATTTATTGCTGCCAAAAGCTTTATTGTTTCCATTTGGTCCAATGCACAGGAAAGGATTCCAGGGTGGTTAAAAGGGTGTTTAGTGGTTTCAGGGAGAGGCTCAGGTAAAAGCCAGATTACCAGAGAGCTTTGATAAGAGAAATGCAGAAGGGGCCCCCAAAGACCTGTCGACTCCAAAGGCTTCTTAGTTGTTCTTGAGGGTGAGCCTTTCCAAGAGATCCCCAGCCAGGGGATGTTAATCAGGTGGTCATCCACTTTCTTGATGTGTTTCACCTCCTCATTCAGGACATGGTTCTCCAGGAAGTTACAGAGATGAGGGTCTGTGCAGGCAGAACCCAGGGCAGGCAGGTCCAAAAGGGCCTGGTTTTGGTTCTTCTTCAGGACCATGGCAGCATCCATGGTGTCCTGAGTTTCACCCCACTCATCTTGGGAAGGCTTCACCAAGTCCTGGAGGAGAATGCGGCCACCACACTGGTTTTGCAACTTAAGAGATGCTCAGTGCCCTCACACTTCACCTTGGCCAATTCTCAGAAGAAGTGGCCCATGCCTTGAAGAGCCACATCCTCATGGTTAATATAGAAACCTGGAGAGAGGTAGGTGTGAGAGACCTGCAGGTGCATGTTGGCCGGGCAGTTGACTGCAGCTTCCACACTGGTGGAATAATTCTGATGAATTTGGGAGCTTATGGTTTTTCAGCAATGAAGAATTGAGGTAACAAAACAAAACAAAACAAAACAAGAAAAACGGTGTTGGCTGGTCTCAGAGGCTGAGGAGGCTGAGTTGATTCCAAAGGTGGTGACTAGAAAAGAGGTTGGAGGGTAGTTGGAAAGAAGGGGCATCCTTAGGTCTATTCCATCCAAACCCTGTTGAAGCAAGAGACAGATCCCAGGACCACTGAGGGGAAAGGAGGAAGAGAGAGAGGGAGAGCAATATCTACACAAGAGAGAAACATCCATCAGTTGATAATCAATTGCCTCCCCTATGTGCCCTGACCTGGGAATCAAACCTGCAACCTAGGTATGTGCCCTGAGCAGGAATCAAACACACAACCTTTTGGTGTACGGGATGATGCTCCAACTAACTGAGCCACCTGGCCAGGGCTACTACAAAATTTTTTAAAACATGTAATACCTGGTTATTTAGTCAGGGGCACTGACCTCTTTTACCTTAGATAGTCAAATAAAAAAATGACAACAGTCAATACAACAATAGCTGCCTTGTGTGAATGAATCAAAATTATACCTTTTTTTTTTTTTTGTCAGATGGTCAAAAATATATTTTTTGATGTGCTGCAGAATTTTAGTAATTATTTTTATGTGTGCCATGAGATGAAAACGGTTGACAATTGCTGCTCTAAGCAATCCTATGCAGGACAGCCTTAATTCGTAGATGAGGAATCTGGGGCTCAAAGGTGAGGTCATGACTATTTAAAAGACATACACTGACCAATGACACAGTTACGTCACCCTTTCTCTGATTCCACATCCAGTGTTCTTTCTGCTACCTCTGCTGCTTCATCTTAAGTAAGGACAACATTAAAAGTAGACATAAACCTGAGGAAGAACTTAAACCGTCCTTTTATTTTTCTCATAAATGTTTGCTTTAAAAAACTTCACAGTTAAGAAATTAACCCGTAAGCTTTCTGATATAGGTAAAAATGAAGGAGGTGAATCTTGTCACCTTGAGGCTTTATTCATAGGGAACAACTAGGATCAAAATCTATCAGGCTCAGCCGCTGGAGCTTTCTGTCTCTCTGCTGTAGAGGTGAAGGCATTTTTTTCCAGTGGTCTTTTATCATTTACTTTACTGAGTTACTGAATGTTTTGGCAGTCAGATACTGTTTTTAGAGACTTAAAAAACATGAATTTGATGTTCTTAAATATTTTATTTATTAAAAATTCCATCCCACAACTAAGTAAATATACTATCTTTTTCATTTCAGATTTTAACTAATGTCCAAATCCACACCTGAGACACTTAGCAAAACTATGAGTATGCTACTGATAGTTTTTGAGTAACTTTCATATGCCTGAGAATCTATACCAACACTGTCCTAAATTATCCTAATTTATAGGACTTATCTTGTCCTTTTTTATTCAGGGTGAACAGTAGGAGACAATGAGGAGGACTGACAGCATTCTTTTAAGGAAGACAGATCATCAGTGTTTGAAATAGGAATAAGAAAGAATAAGTGATATATTTCAACTTGATAAACAAAATGAGAATTTATGCACAATCACAGATTTTTAAAAATTCTAAATATCCCATTTATTTTGTTCAATTAAAAAAAGATTTATAATTGCAAGACTTTAAACAGAAATGTAGAAAGCAAAGGAAAGGAATTACATGAGAGAGATTTATGACAGTCTATAGTGGACTTTTAAATATGCATCATTACAGTATTTTTGCCTATTTTTTTCCTTTTTACAAATTGGTGATTAGTTATCCTGATTACTAATTATTCAGATCACAGGCTCTGGAGCCAAACTGCCTAGATTAAGGCCTGCTCTGCCACTTTCTAGCTGTATGTATGACCTAGAACAAATTACTTACTCTCCTTGAAGATTAGTTTCCTCATCAGTTAAATAGCATCTATCTCATAAGACTGAAACAAGGATTACTTAAATTGGTATACATATAGAATTTAGAAGAGTGCCATACAGAGTATATACATTGCAGTAAGCATTAGTTATTACTAAAACTATAATTTTTTACCAATTACGTTGTGTGCCTTTTGTTACTATAGATCATCTTATTTACAGTTGGGTATGTATCTGGTCTACTGATTCATCTATTTAATATTGCACTAATATTACACTCTTTTAATTATTGGTGTTTTACAATATATGTGAACACCTGTTAGAGTGAAATCTATCCTCACAACTATCCTTTTCAGAATTAAAATATATGTATATGTGTATATCCATGATTTTTATTTTTATACATAAACTTAAGACTTTTTTCAAATTTAAGTTATTTTGTCTTGTTAATGGCATTAAACCTATAAAATGATAAGTGACCTCTTTCAAATGTGTAATTTCCTCACCCAATAACTTGGACTTGAATAAAGTTTTGTATTTTTCTTCATATAAGATTCTTATCAAAATTCCTTCTATGTACTTCACTTTTTTGTAGTTATTATGAACAAAGTCTCTTTTTCATCATATTTTCTTATACCTAGTATATAGAAATAGTCTTACTGTGTGTATATTACCTAATATCTTCTTTTTGGACCCAGCACTATTTTCCATTTCCTTTATCTGGAGGAATTCAGTTAGCGTTATTAATTTGAGTCAATTTTAAAATTATCTAGCTATATAACCGTGTTCAAATAATGATAATTTGCCTCCTCCTTTTGAATAATTTTATATCATATCTAATGCATGTTTTGCTGGGACTGGATAGAACTGCTAACACAATATTACAGGAAAATGGCTGTAACTTATATCACAAGCAGAAGTTAATCTTCCTTATATAGAAAAAGCTCCTATCAAACACAGAGAAAAAGACCAACAGGAAGAAAAATGAACAAAGAATGCGAATAGA